TAAGGTCACTTTTCCATTGCTTAATGATGTCTAAAAGCTTGGAAAATACTTCAATATTTATATTCTGTGTCTAAGTATTCGCGGACTACATCTATCTATTTTACAACTATGTATCTCTCTAATTATAACTTGCAATATCAAGTATTCTTCAAATGTGTGAACACCTAAAGACCCTGAAAATCACCACACCCTTTTCGGTAATTACAATATTGCTAACTAGGAACCATACTGTTTCTAATAGTAATTATCTGATTATTAGAGTCTTTAGATTTATAGCTTAGTTCTTAAGTCAAACTGAGTTGGCCCTAATTATCTCTGTTATTGATGAAATGATTAGTTTCATCTGCAGGTTGTATCTGTAGAGGTAGTTGTAATTGCAATCTTCCAAGGTCACCTGACTTCAAATCTCTGTAACTCCATATTCAACTGACAGATATCTTCTAAAGGACTTCCTACTAATTCGCAGGAAGCTATCCTACTGGACTGATAGATAATATCTCGGTCAGCAATCCTTGATTGCTCTGGGTAATAGGGTTTCAATTGCGATTCTTGTAATTGAAATTATTCCAGCAACCTCAGTGCATTCCTGGATCCAGTTGAAACACTACGTGAGGTCCATTGGCTTCTATAATAGTGTTCCTTGAAGTTCTAGACTCTTTGGTTATCATAGGATAGGTGCTAATATATTGGTTTCAAGTTGAGATTTTTTACCATTCGATACTATATCTGAATGTGAAAAGGTCCTGTTACCTACAGTTCATACCAAAGATATCACATCTTTGAAGCCTAGTAGCTTTTTGAGTAATTGACGGATTTACTCCATTCCACTTCCTAGACCTAGCCGAATGTCCTCTCTCATATATCCTATGAACCGGGTCTGGTTGGACAGATGGCAGTGATGTATATGGTAATATTCTGACACCTTTAATTCTATGGCATTATAGTCACAGGGCGTAACTAAAATTGATATGTATAATAATATACGGGTTCTATAAAAAGGAAGAATGGGGATGTTGGAGACCAGAGATTCTGATTCCAAGTGGAGCTACCCTACCTAGGGTGGTTCCTAGGTATCAGATTCCAGTATTCCTAATATGGATAGCCTAAACTGATATTGAGAAGGTACCATTTAGCTAGGTGGTCCTCCTAATCAACTAATAGCTGTTGTTGACCTTAGTTGGCAAACCTGTGAGGTAGGGCACTATTGAGATGGTTGCAGAGTAACGGAGAACTCACAGCCCATTGATCTGAAGCCTTTTTGACTTGGCCTGTTTGTAGTACCTGTTCACAAGCGTTGGGTAAATCATTTTCACTGTATGTATGAACCATAGTAATGATAATAACAGAATTGAAAAGAGAAAAGAAAACACATCAGAATTGAATATATTGTGTTGAAATATAATAGGGGGGTTGAGTGGTTACTAGAATGGTACAGACAATACGGAAACCCTACCTGACAGTAACCCTCCCTCTAACTTAGCCATTTTTGTCTCCTCTACTAAAACCAAGCTATAGCCACATACATTTCTCTCACCCTCAATTAGCCCAGAGTTCCACTTCAGGTCAAATCAAACTGAAAAGCAGAAAGAGAGCGGTCTTCAACAAAGAAAATTAAATAGAAGATTTATGAGGTTGAGAAACTGCTGCTGACCTAGAACAAAAGTAACTTTCATATATCTTTCGCAAGTCACATCCATGCTAAGTTTCAAGTTACTTTCAGATCTTAGTACTCTATTGGGGCTTGTGTAATACTACAAGTTGTCAGTTTGCCTGTTTTATACTTCCATTACACAGAGAAATAGTTGCACTCACGATCCTTACAATTACTTGAAATTTTTTTTATTCAAACAGTGCAGCAGTACTAAGCTACGAGCCTCTGCCAATTTCTATCCCTAATGTAAAATAGCCAAGGGCCTGAGTTTCTTGTTACCTCACTATACCACATTATCACAATAGTGTTTTATGTTGAAAAAGTAGTTTAAAAGTAAACATAAACATATTGTACATTGACAAAATTAACCGCAATTCAACAATCAGTGGCAACCCACCCCACTGCATCACCCGATACTCTCAATAGTACCTAAAAAAACTGTTCTAAGTCAACTAAGAAGAAACCATTCTACTCAATTCTTTTTTTCAATAAGCTATGCCTCCTATTCTTCACAGTCATGCCAAAAAACCTATTCCCTTCACACATCTCTCTGAGTTTACCAGCAGGAGGATTCTCAGATTACACAAGCCTCAGATGAGATATCAGCAAATTTCCCACTACTTTAATATCCCCTACACTACTGTCAGAGATACAATTGCAAAGAGACATCAATAGGGCAAGGAGAATAAGAGTAGAGGAAGACATCCTAAAACTACCATATTACAGGATGATGCTATGGTGGAGGAAGCTCTTAGAAATCGCCATACTACCTATTCTGACATTGCTGAGCAAGTTGCTCCTAATGTTTCTAGTAGGACAGTAAGGAGAAGACTTAAAAAAAAGCATCCTAGAAAGTGGATAGCATAAGAGAGAGTTCATTTGGATGAGAATCTAGCTCAAGAGAGGTTGAAATGGACATTAGCTCATAGTCATTGGACGAAGATGTGAAGAAGAAAGGCAATGTAGGGGGATGAGGTAGCTGTGGAAAGAAGAGGAAGAAAGAGGAGAAAATGGGTTTTCAGATATTCATGAGAAATAGAATAAGAATTTTGTTGAACCTAAGACTAGGAGAGGGGAGAGAGAGATTAGCCAGATGATGACTGGTTGTTTTTATTGTCAAACTCGTGGTTTTTTTTGCCTGTTTTTCCTGATCCTTCTTCTGCTAGGGGTGGAGTTACTGGGAAGTCAATTATTGATGTTTATAATCTTTATGACTTTCTAGGGATATGGGAAAATATCAGAGAAAAGGCTGGAGAAGAAGAGGTATTTTTTATCATTGACAATGCTAAGACTCACTTGACTTTTAGGAGATGGCTCAGAGGGCAGGAGATTACACTGATGGAAATTCCTGCCTATTCACCAGATCTCAATCCAATTGAAAATATTTGGTCTCTGGTGAAAGGTAAGCTTCACAAGCACTACCCTGAGCTATATCTTATAAAGGGTGATGTCAATGTGGTCAAGAAGGCAATAGTAGAGGCCATCACTCATTGTTGAGAACTTCTTGACCCAAAGGTTTTTGATACTTTAGCTGGATCAATGGTGGATAGAATAGAGGCAATTATTAAGGCTGATGGATGGTATACCAAATATTAATTTCTACTATGTATTTACATCTTTTAATTTTTTTTTTTGGTTTTCATGATAGTGGATTGGTGGGTGAGTGTGGTTGTCATCTGTAGTTGTCATCGCCGAAGATTTTCCTCTGTTGAATCGCAGTTAATTTTGTCCACGCACAATACCTGGGATCCTGAGCAGCCATAGTAACACCTACCTGCATTCAGCATACGAGCAAGGAACTGCCTAGAATCTTACCTTCGCCCCCTCTATTCTGGCGTATATACCGTATTGCCCGTTAGAGGATGTTTATTAGTGAAGAAAAAATGCTCAACTAGACCCACCAGCCAACCGGCAAATGTACCCCTCGCAGCAGCTAAACATCCAGGGCATGCGCCATCAATCCAGAAAAACACTCTAATCACATAGTTAACTACACTCGTGCAAATGCTAACCACCCAAAAATGCAGCTCTCAAGCAAATCCAACATCTCGTCATACCCCATCGCTAGAAATGGTAACGACAGAATTGGGGGTGTTCACAAAGATGAGAGAGAAAAGAGGTCTTGTCAATTGTTCGATAGGATGAGCGGAGATTAGAAGTAGAAGTACAGGAGATGAATGGAGATACATATGATAGGAAGAAAAAATTTCATGCTGGTATCAGAAGCTAACGTACGCACTCGTATCGGATATCTCCAACATCCATTCAAACAGATCCGCCGAGTGACAATACATGACCACCATAAAACCCACCCTTACCACCGCAGCACAAGGCTGCTGCGCCACTAAGTCACCGATGCATCTCTTCCTCCTTTAAACTAATCTAGGGGTAAGAGATACTAGAAGAGTAGACACCAGCTAAATGCACAGTAGTGCAACAACAACCCAACGTGAGTCGTCCACCACCCATCCGACACGCCCCGTGACCACTGGCGGTCAGCAAGTGAAGACCCAGCAATAACCCGCGGACTAGGAAGACACAAAGAGAGTGTGAGGGGGCCAGAGCAAGACGGAAGTATTGGGTATGAAATCCGCGCTAAAAAAGGATTGGGGGACCTGGCTTCCCGGGTGAAGCTATTTTTTTATTCTATTTGGTTTAGTCTGGTCGGGGCCGTGTGGGTGATAAAAGTATAACTATCAGAAGTTCTACGGGTACATGTATGTATAGTGCCACCTACCCACATCTTTACCCCTCCCTGGCTATGGTATGATATTGCAATATCACAAAAACCTACAAATCCTACACCCTCTGCTACCATATACAATCCCAACCCCAACACACCTACCCCCACTTCTGCCTCAGCACGGACGAAATAGGCAGCTTATTTAAGCATAAAGGCCCAGGATGGGGGTAGTCGGCCAGTCCAGCATTCTTTCAGGATTCCACTCTAGAGTCTGAATGCGTAGGTCGCAGCACCGACATGAAGAGGGAGTTGGAGAGGGTTTGTTTACTCTTTTTGTTTAAGAGGGAGAGTGGGTGGTGGCGGTGGTGTAGAATGGAGAGGGGGTAGAGTTGGGTGTTGTGAAGGTGCTTAACGCGAGGCTTGCGTCTGCGGAGGTTTGTATTCGGGAGATAGAGGACACGGGGTCGGAGTGGGTTCACCAGTGGGGGGTTATTATGGGGGCGAGGGGGCTTTGTTGGACTAATTTCTTGTCCGGATTATGTCCGAGACCTATTGGGTATGGTTCGCTTGTCTGTTTTCTTGAGTATGTGTGTGTGTGCTCATGGCGTTAAGGTTGTTTATAGAGTGGGTTGGTGAGAATATATAGAGGATTGCATAACATCTTTTCTAATCATCACTAACCGTTACATCGTCCCTCTTAGCCCCATCTCGGTGCATAAATTCTCGGATACCCTCCCACAACCATTGAGGGGTCGGCTTTTCAGCAACAACATCTGGTTTCCAAGACAACTTGTCGACAAGGTGCTTCTCTGTTGTGGGGCCAATAGCCGCCAGATATGACCCATGGGAGAGAGGAGTGAGATGCTTCGTCAATACACCAACCGCTATGTCCGCCCCCGCAGGGGAGAACAGAACTATCCACCTGGTCGTACCTCCCGTCTCATCGATCGCCTTCTCAAATTTGGCATCGAACTCCTCGTCCACAATAGTCTCGTATACCGTCAACGTCTCCACCGCGATATTCTTCTCCCCGGGAGCTGTAGAAAGTGTCTTGGGAATTATGTCTCTTCTGGTCTCTCCTGCGAGAAACAGAAGCGGTTTTGGCCGAGATCCGTAGGATTCTAGGATCAACTTTGCTAGAGCTTCCCCATTGCCGGAGTCCTGGCCTAGGACGTTTGACGCCCTAAAACCTAGTCCGATGAGCGCTGAGCCCGTTGCGGGGCCGACAACCCATACCTTTGTGTTTGCGAATAGGGTTTGGAGGGTCGTTGGTGGGAGAGCGGGTATTATGCTGGAGAGGGCTTCGACGGTGCGCTGGGACGTGATTACTAGACCTCCGTATGAATTAGGATCTGTGGGATCGGATTTGCTTATGAGGTGGGTTTTCAGATTGTCTAGGTTGATGTGGTGATGTTTGAGGACTGGAATAAAGACTGGTTTGAAGACGGAACCGTCTATTGGGCTGGAGGTGAAGTATTCGTAGTATTGCTCGTGCGGCTGAGAGCGGGCCTTGAGGAATAGTATTGGTACATTCTTCGTCTCCATGTCAGATATCTTTAGGGGGTTAAATTCAGCTATAGAGTGATCTAGGGAAGCGAGGATGGGGTTTAGATGATATCAAAATCATAGGCAAAGAGGGAGAGGGAAGGAAAGGAAGGTGGGGAGCTGGAACAACAATGATCCGCTGATAAGATCTGATAGAAAACGAAGTGGAGGACTAAAATGAAGCTCGGCAGTTCACCCGCGCCAGCTCCGGCGCCCAAGCCCGAAGAAACGGCCAAATTCAGCCTCACGCACCCGTAATTACATTTCTATTCTACGAGTAGCCTCCCCAGGTAAGGAGGAAAAGAAATTCCAAGGGGGAAGGATTTCTATTTATTAAATTTTCTTATTTCCACCAATTCGTTTTTCCTCCCCACTATCCTGCCCTACCGCCACGACATCGATACCCAAACCTTGCCGTCACCCACACATCTGTCATTAATTAATACGGTACTGCTGTTCATTTTCAACCTTCGACAACAACACCCCCTTTGTATCACCAGCACCATTCAGGCGGGCCTTTGTTCCCGTCTCTCCTTGTCACAAATATCACCTTTTCTTCCTGAGAACACCAAGCATTGATACCACACCGGTACCAAGATGCAGCACTCAATCTACCCAGCAAAGACTCCTCCGCTCCACCATCCAGTCCCCCAAAAGCCCGTGACGGTTCCGGTCATGCACTCACCACCGCCGCCGCCCTCGTCCTCGAACTCTTACTACTCATCCCCCTATGACGCTTCTACGAGCTACTCCAACGGCGCAAACCTCCACCCAAACTCCGCAGCATACCCATCATGGGGCGGCGGTGGCGGTTCTGGCGGCTTCCTAGCTGACCCAACAGCGCAGATGGGCCTGTCAGTCGCGAAGGCCGCAATGTCAGGCGGAACGGACTATGCCGAGAAAAACGTAACCTTGCCCAGCTCCCTCCATCTAACACTTTAGTGGCAAGTGGGAGGGAAAGGAGCAAGGGGGACTGACGCAAATGCCAGATCAACCGCTACCTATCCGCCCTGCGGCCGTACTTCGCTGTAACGAATACCTACGTTTTACAGAAGCTGCGGTTGTTGCTGTTCCCGTACCGGCATACTCCGTGGTTCCGCGTCTCGTCCACCCGGTCGTCCACCACTCCCGGTGGCCCACTGGAGTACTACTACCTGCCCCCGCGCGAGGACCTCAATTCTCCGGATCTATACATCCCCGTCATGTCAATTGTCACATATATCCTCCTGAACTCCTTTATCTCGGGGATTTCGGGGAATTTTCACCCCAAGCAACTCGCCCAGACGGCTTCTACCAGCTTTGTCATCATGGTGTTTGAGATTGCGATCATGAAGCTGGGGGTCTACTTACTGAGCATTAGTAATGGGAATGGAGAAGGTCAGCTGCTGGATTTGTTGGGGTACTCGGGGTACAAATTCTTTGGCGCTATCATGACGATCCTGATCGGAGAGGTGCTAGGGCAGAACGGATTTCTTGGCTGGTCTGTGTTTTTGTACTTTTTCGCGGGGAATGCTTTCTTTTTGGTATGGGGCACCCTCTTTTCCATACCCTCTCGTAATAATATCACTAATAATTCCATAGCTCCGAAGCTTGAAGTACGTCCTCCTCCCATCAGAAAACAACCCACAGGAAGGCAGGGGAGTGTACACCTCCTCCTCCACCGTCCCCAGAATCCAAAGGAAAAAGAGGAGAACGTGGTTCTTATTCTTCTACAGCTATGTCGTGCAATTTCTCTCTGCACTCATCTTAACCTCAGGCGTTGGGAAGGGGGCATGAAATAAACCCAAACAGAGTTTTTTCCGCTCTTTACATAACGATTTCACGAAATTGGAGGCGGGCGACCGTGTGTGTAGGTGGATGGGCATGCGGGGGAGTAATACACTGCATTGCGTTTTTGGTGTTACTTGTTCGGTTCGATTCGGTCTTGCTATCACCAAAGAATAGTTATCGTTTTTGTCTTGTCTGTCTTGCCTTTTTATCCTGTCACTGTAGTTCATCATCCCTTCTCTTCACTCTGTACATCGCATAAAGACCCTCGATCATTATCTCCCGAAATTAAGCTAAGCTTTGGGCCAGTCACCCCTATTCGTAAGAAAAGAGGAAGCGTCTCTATTCCCACCTGACTTAACATAACCCCCACTACTACCACTATTCCCTCCCAGCCTCAAAGTCCCGAATCTGCTTCGACCAATCTACCCCCCCCGCCACCACCAATCAATCCCATTAGCCCCCATCCAACCAAAACGGACCGAGAGAGAACATACTCCGGCTTGGAAAAAACCGTCCAGGATCTGGCATGCGGTACCTGTGCTCCCGCTCCGCGCTCGTCTTCCAAGCAATCGCCACGATGCCCGCGATCACCGTGGCCATGATCGCGGTATTGGTTTTCCAATTCTTGGGTTGAGAATACCAGCCGCCGCTGGGAGACCAGACGTGTTTTGGGTAGCTTGCGATGGAAGTTAGTGAGGAGTGGAGGTTCGGGGGGGGGGGAGTACGGGATTTTGCCGCCGCCGCCCTAGGCGTGTTAGCTTTCATGACTTTGAGTGTGGGGAAGGGGGGTTACCATTGTTATTTTGGTGGTGGTGGGTGGGTATGATAGATGAGGTGATGGAGAAATTGGTTGGTTTGGTTTGGTTTGTGGTGTTCGGTGGGGTGTTGGAGAAAGGTGGTTATGCCGCCAAGAGTCGCGATGCGGGTGACTACTCGTAGGATGATACGTTGACGGGGTTGCCGAGCAGCAAGGTACTGTACGGTACAGTATCATACCTTACTCAAATACAATTTGGGTATGATAGATAGGTAATCGATTACTGCAAACCTGAAATGACCCCTTTTGGGTTGTGAAGCCGAGTCCTAGGAATCTTTACGTGTCTTGTAAAACCTACCCCATAAAATCTAAAAATAATTATTACAAAAATCATCCATCAGTCTTCACAACATATCACTCGTCATCAAGGCTCAAGCCCCCCTGCGTACCTAGTGGCCGCCATGGGGAAATTCTATAAACATGATACTAAGGATGAAATAACCCATCTCGAAAGCGCTATTGGTATTCTACAACGTAAAGCCCTCACCAATAAGTAAGCATTAATTCCGTCATTTTTTCCCCTCCGCTGCTTCCATCATATCATTCCGGATATTCATTTTATCTCTCGCCAACAGAAACAATGCTCGGCAACTCTCTACAGTCTGTCGTTTCGTTCGTGGTCATGTCCAAGACTCTTACGCCCTCTACGTTCAACACACCTGTCGCTAGCGCAATGAAGCGGAGTTCCGCCGTGTGGCAGGCGGAGGGTAATAATGGTCTGGTAGGATGTTAGTATCCAAGTATAATCGCACCAAGGGGGTGGAACAACTCACCCGACCCTAACATCATTAACCAGTGGAACTAATTCCGCCGGTTCCAAGTACTGTGCCCGATGCGTCTGGTACACCACCGCCTCATCCAGAACCGCCTCTGTTGCATCTTCGTCTCCGGCAGGTCTCGGAGGAAGCGACTTCCCTTCACCGGCCTTCCGGCGTTTCGGTGGGACCATTAACGCGAGTTTTCGGGTTCGCTGGGAGCGGTTCACGACAAAGACGGTCCAGACGAAGATCTCACCGACATATACTCTCGATGGGCCAGAGAATGTTATGGTCAGGCCTGGAGTGCTCTCGGGCGCCGGGTTCGCTACAAAAGAGGGGGTAGAATGGTTCGGCGGTGTGAAAGTTAGAGCAGGGGATGGAGCGGCGGGTTGATGGACCGGACGGATCCCGGCCGATGATGAAACGGTGGCACCATGGATGATGCTTCCTAGGGAAGGTGGCCGATGGGCACGCTGAATACCAGGCGAGGGTTGGAAGGTGGGGCTTTGTGGTGGTGAAAAGTCCACAGTTGTAGTCCAATTAGTAAATATCTTAGGATGGCATATTGGCGAGAGGTGGGCGGTCGCTTGTAAGGTGACGGAAATAGGACGTATTGGCGAATTAGATGATGCTGGGGCTGGCGAGCCGGACGTGGGGAGCAAATCGGTCGGTGTTAGGATAAATAAGAATGTTATATCATCTCGTGGTCGACACTCTATAGGTAAAGAAGGAGATGGCGAATCTGTCAGGGGGTTGGCTTTCCCGCCAGACAGTGCAATTTCAACACTCTCTATAGTTACATCGCATTCACTGAAGTGTGTCACTTCCAAATCCAGAGAAGCAATGATAGTCTGCTTTGTTCCGGAAAAGATACGGGAGTAACGCAGTCGGATGTTAATGGCTGGGTAGATATTGAAATTGCGCTTCGCAGCATAACCGAAGGGGCGGAGAGCTTGCTGTGGCGTCTGGGTCACAGGTATCACCCGGGAAACTCTTGAAGCAGAAAGCCGAGGAGCAACAGTGGATAGATATGGATCTTCGGCAAAAGACTCGAGTAGATTAATTCCAACAGGCTGTCGGGTCGACAGATATTCATCTTCGACAACAGGTTTGTGAAGTTCAGCTGGACGTATGGTAGCCGAAGCCGTTAATATGACCTTTGGGTTGTTGAGACGAGCCCGGGGATGCCCTAGGGGCACGTCAATCTTCCATATTGCTAGTCTCTGTGCACCGTTATCTATGACGATTCGCTTTGTCTCGTTTTCATCCACCACGGTTTGGAATAACAGATGGATTGTCTCCGCGGGCCTTCCCCCATATTGTGGCTGCCGCTGCTGCTGTTGCCGTTGGCCATCTACAGCGGCTACTTCGAGAGAAACGGCAAGACGAGAGAGATAGGATTCGTAGACACTATCTTCTAGGGGGATTAGAAGCTGAAGAACCACGAATACCGGCAAGGTTTCATCTGTGACGAAAAGGCTGTATCTCAGTTCTCAAATGATCTCTTTATTACATGGGAGAAGGGCAAACCGTAGAAAAGGGATTTGCGCTGTTCGATTGCAGAAACAGCCGAAATCCCACCATCAGCGGTAGAGACCCGCTGTTTGTCCCGCTTGAGAGCTTCATCTATTGCCTGAGATATGTCTAGATCTGATTCTTGAGGAACGACAAGCTCTAGACGAGCTGATTCCTGAAGTTCAACGGTGTTTGTACGAGCATGTGTTTTCTTTCGAGGAGCTGCTGCTGCGGGCATTGTTTGGAGGGATGATGGGAGAAGGTGGCCTAAAGTTGGCCGGAACCGGATATGTTTCTGAGATGTATCGGCTTCTCAGAGTGAGTATGATACTAGTAGGGTATCCTCGCAAGTTCGGTTGTTTGGTTTTGTGTGAATACCCGGTAGAGGTGCAGTTTAATTGGTTCCCGTCTCCCTCGTTAGACTGACTCCGTATTCTGTGTCTCGGAGAAAGAGATGTACAGTACCGTACTCGTACAGAGGCTCCGAGTTGTGAGTATAGAAATTCTGGACACGTGAGCTTGACCCAAATCTAAAGTTTGTGACTCAAGAGGCATGATGTCCAATCAGAGTGGATCCTTTTTGCGCAGGTGTATTCTCACCCTTTTTTTTTTCGCCTCTCCTTCCCTGCTGTGGGAAGAAAAAAAACATTGGCTACCGGTACGTCCACAGCAAGACAACCACCACCACCTCCACACATCCTTTCTCTTTATTTTTCACCCCACCCGCTGTCTCCTAGACTTGAACCTCATCAACCTATACGCGTCGAGTTTTCTTTGTCAACCTTTTACGTCTCCGATTCATCATGTCAGCCTTGTGGCAGGAGGCAAAAAATCCTGAGGGTCGTGTCTATTATTACAATGTTCAGACAAAAGCTACGCAATGGACAAAACCTGTTGAGCTCATGACTCCAGCTGAGGTCATTTTCCCAAATTTACGAGGAAAAGATATTTGCATGACAATAGTACTAACAAACCTAATAGAGAGCTCTCCAGGATTTACCGTGGAAACAACACAAGACTGAAGATGGCCGACCCTATTGGTTTGTCTCGCTGCGCTCGCACTTTTTCCGGTGAAGAGAAGAGATCGTTGATGCCTGCTATTTTTCGATTTAGGTATCACGCAGAAACGAGACAAACAACTTGGGAAATGCCCGAAGCTTATAAAGCGGCACTTGAGAGAAGCTCTCAGTCGCAAGCGCTGTCGCATACCCCGTGGGTTAACCTAAATGTCACTAACTCGAACGGAATGGCTAACAATGAACAAATAGGCAAACATTTGTCGCTGGGGGTACTCAACACTTTAATAATAGTTACGAAAATAATGAACGCCAGGTTGCAATCCAAGGCCAACATGGTCCGGATTCAGGACCGGGTGGCGATAATGCCGCCAAATCCATGGCCCTCCCGTCTTCGCTCGGCAATGATAAAGAAGGCCCTCAATATTCCACCCATGATGAGGCGGAAGCAGCTTTCGTGAAGCTCTTGCGTCGAAGTGGTGTCGTCCCAGATTGGACATGGGAACAGACCATGCGCTCGATCATTAAGGAGCCCCAATATCGGGCTCTAAAGGACCCGAAGGATAGGAAGGCCGTCTTTGAGAAGTATATCGTTGAATTAAAGCAGCAAGAACATGAGAAGGCCAAAGATAGGATTACAAAGTTGAGACAGGACTTCGCAGTAATGCTCAAGAGCCACCCGGAGATTAAGTATTATACTAGATGGAGGTCAGTATAATACCCACCTCTCCCTCAGCAACCCGCTCTTTCTAACTTTATGTAGGATTGCCCGTCCTATGATTGAAGGTGAAACTATTTTCCGCTCCTCTTCTGACGAGACAGAGCGCCGTCAGTTGTTTGACGAATATATTGTCGAACTTCGCAAGGCCGAGCAAGAGCGCGAACACCAGCATAGAAAGGAAGCCTCGGAGGAGTTGGTCGGGCTGCTCAAATCGCTCGATCTAGAGCCATATACACGTTGGTCAGAAGCCCAGGCCATTATCCATCAGAATGTGCGTTTTCAGTCTGAACCAAAGTTCCAGGCACTGTCCAAGCTTGACGTGTTGAACGCGTTTGAGAATCATATAAAAGTACTCGAGCGAGCCTTCAATGATAAAAGGCAAAAAATGAAGAACATGAAGATGCGGAAAGAGAGAAAGAATCGGGAAGCATTCTCCGTAAGTCACTTACAGATAGCTTTCTGGCAACACTATTGTGGGTTTGCTAACACATCCTCTCGATAAAGGCATTATTGGCTCAGCTTCGATCTAAAGGTGAAATCCGTGTGGGAACCAAATGGAAACATATTCACCCATCCATCAAAGATGATGAGAGATACCTTAACATGCTTGGCCAACCAGGATCCACCCCACTTGATCTCTTTTGGGATATAATGGAAGAAATTGAACGAGAGCTCCGACTGAAGAGGAACCTGGTGATGGATATATTGGATGTAAGCTCTTCTTGTTCTAGCCCTAACCACGATGGCGGTTGCTAACAATGGACGTAGGAAAAGCGATTTGAAATCAGGGAACAAACTACTCTTGAAGAATTTTCAAATTTGCTTCAGTCTGACTCTCGTACCTCACAGTATGACCGTGAAACGGTTTCGGCTCTGTTCGATAGGGTACGTCTCGTTAACTTCTTAGCTTGCCGGGTTTAATTAACATTAAATAGCTCCGCGAGAAGATCGTTAAACGATTGGAAGATGACCGCCACCAACATGAACGTCAGCAGCGCCGCCGCACCGATGCACTTCGTTCCGCAATTAAACATCTCGAGCCGGCGGTCGAAATTTCGGATACGTGGGAGCAAGTACGGCCTCGAATTCAGAAATTAGAGGAATTCCAGGCTCTTGAGTCAGAAGAGTTGCGTCGTACGGCATTTGATAAGTATATCCGCCGGCTGAAGGAGAAACATGATGATAGAGAAAAGGAGCGTGACAGAAAAGATCGGGATCGTGGGGAAAGGGTGCGTGACAAAGACAGGGATACCAGGTCTTATCGCGGTGAACCCGAATTGCGCAATGGCCATGACTCTAGCAGGTCCTACCATAAGCCTGCAGCATCATCTCGACATCATCACGATTCTCATCCGCTAAGCCGCTCGCCAGAGGTAGATTCTTATGAGGCTGAGAGAAGGAGGGCTGCTGGCGAACGGGAGAGACAGTACCAACATAGAGGAAACACTGGTAGGAGCAATTCCCATCATCGTTCTGAGAGAGGGGGGGGAGCAGAGAGCAGGCACGGACGCGATAGGCAGGAGAGTGTCTATGACCGTGAGCGCAGAGAGAGGGAGGAAGAGAGAGAAAGACTGTACAGGACCAGGGGCGATGATGAGTACCGTGCCAGGCGGAGGCCCAGGGGGTTAAGCCCGGCTGAAGAGAGTGAAGATGGTAGGCGCGATTCGAAGGTTTGTCATGGCATTTGTAAGGCTTGGTGATTGTTCTCGAGCTAACACAAGCTTGTTGATTTAGAGGTCTAGGCGTGAGCGTAGTCCACGAGATAGAACCCCAAGGGAAAGGAATTCGAGAGATAGGACTCCTAGTAACTGGGATGCTCGGTCACCCCCACGTGTTAAACAACTTGCCAAATTAGTGGATAAGGTGCAGGTTGATAAGGATGAGGAGAGCGAAGAAGGTGAAATCGCCGAGTAGCAGGACCGATCTCTATTTTTCATGTGGTAACGGTTTTCTTGTCCTTTTGAAATTTTCGTCGATGAGGAAATGATGGGGAAATGTCTACATTAACTGCTCTTACTTCACAGATGGATGGTTTGGAACCGCAACCAAGTGCGATGAGCTGTCTTCTTTCCTATTTCTCAAATCCCCTTTTTGTAAAACCTTTAGCTAGCTTCTTTTCTCTCTTACCGGTGGCTTTTTGTCTACGCCGTCCCGCTGACACAGCTCTGGAGTGATAGTTCGCCCAAATTTGGAAATAATAATCTTTGAAAACACTCCTAGAATTTCCACAAATCGGTCGTGACCTCCCCCAGATGCCATGTACTTCGCAGTGCGAGCCTGATACCAATATACAAATGTCGTGGAATGACCCATCTTTCACCCCGATGCAAGACTTCGGGCTCCCTCCACGAAGCGAACAGAAACCGGCGTTTGACCAACTAATTCGGCGCGTTCGTTCCCATACCAGTACTCAAAACGCTGTGCTCGAGTACAAGTACATCTTATCAAAACAGCAACACAGACCCAAAACTCAGCCCGAAAACCCCCGTGATGCGAACCCGGCTCTTCCATAGCGGTACGATATCATACAAGTACAGCGTCATATCATTTCTCGAGTGATATCCTATGAGAATGACTCTAGGGTGTGCGCTCCCACCGCGGCAAAGACACCAGAATTACTGTAAAAGAATGTGCGGCAGCAATCCGCACTCTGCCCCTGCGTGATTCCCCTTGCCTCCTCTCCTTTAAGGGGATGTCGACACCGGAACTGAGCCGATTCATAAATAGACCTGGAGTCCTAATTATTTATGGGGAAACCTCGACGAGGCTGCCAAGTTTAGCTTATCACCTCGCGCGATAGAGATATTGGGAGGCCAATAATACTCGTGGTACGTACAGTAGCCTCCGGTGGTAATCTTATACCGTTTAGTCTACTTAAGTTAGTCTACTGCTTCTGCAGGCCTTGACTTGGTGTTGGTCGCTCTGCAAGGGGAGGTTTGGGAAGTCCTTATAAGGCACGTCTTTTTTCCTGCTGGGATCATAACACTACCATACTACAAGGCACCACATTAATAGTATATATTGGTACAGCACCGCTATGATACTCTTTATGGAAGCTTTAGAGGAATAGGGACGAGGAATTGGGCCAATACAGTAACTTTAACAGCTAAGTTAAAGAATATCCGGGTAACTTTGGTTATTACTCAGGGAAACGAGCCAAGCCTTCTCTCTCCAAATTCACCAGAATAAACTCTTGAGAGGCCACATAGCAATACCGGTGAACCTTATCGCTTGCGCGGAACCTGGAATATTTTATACGTCCCACTTTCCCGCAAATCCCCCCCCCAAGTGCCACGGCATCTCTCTCTTCGCTTTCTTCATTCCTTCCTTCCATTTCTGTTCCGATTCTTCTACTTCTGTTCCGATTTCAGTTTCATTGCAACAACCCCACAAACCCTGCCTGGTGCATTGTCAAACCCTTTCATGCACAATGAGTAGCTATATCCTAAGGCCGCTAAAGCTCGTGAAGAGCTTAAGCGCGATTTCTGCGCTGCTGAGTATCTTGCTACCTACTTTTTCCGCTGTGCAAGGTCATGAGGTTTACGACCGAGATCTTTCAATCGGTCTCGTTCATCCGTGAGGACACTCTTCCCCGTGCAGGAGCTTTGCGGGGTTGGTGCGTTTTTGGATTACGCTCATGCGTGTTTTCTTGTGCGCGATAGGTTCTCGGAAGATCGGCAGACTATCCCTGGTTATACTATTCACGGAAGCCCACAGATCCTGTCTGACAGACTTGTGCTTACCCCGCCGTCGCCGGGGAACCAGAGAGTTGGGCTATGGACTACGAAGACAAACCCGTACCATGAATGGACACTTGACGTTAATTTTCGGACGAGCGGAGGAGAGAGACCTGGAGGGAGCTTTCATGTTTGGTATACGGCTAGAGGTGCTCACGGGAAGGAGGGAATGGAATCTGTGTATACTTCCAAACCTTGGGACGGTTTAGCCCTCGTCGTGGACTCGTATGGCGGGGTATGATTCATCTATGACGAATGCGGGAAGTAGTCTTGCACTAACGGTGTCTATGGAGGAGAGTAGTACGGCACTATTAGGGCTTATCTGAATGACGGGGCGACCGATTACTCTATTCACCACAATGTGCCTTCGCTTTCCTTTGGGCATTGCGAGATCCATTATAGAAATCGGGGCGCCTTGACTGGTCTTAGGATTACCCATAGTCCCAAAAACTTTAAAGTTGAAGCTGATGGATCACTCTGCTTCGAAACCACTCGTGTGCGTTCCAATATAGGTTGCCACAAGGGCGCAATCTAAAGCTAACACATTTTATAGGTCCGTCTCCCCACTGGATATCACTACGGTATCTCTGCAGCCACTTCAGAGACTCCGGACAGTTATGAGCTGTTTTCAATTCTTCTCAGTTCTCCCGAGCGCATCGATCCCTCCAGAGCGAAAGATGCCCACCACGAGGGTCAGACACAGCAGCACCAGGACCAGTTCCGACATCAAGAGCAGGAGAAGTCGCATGGTCGCACCCCTCATGAAGAGGATTACACAATGTACAAGCCTGAGTACGAGGACGAATCACCAGAGAAGTACAAGAGCGAACACGACCAGTTTGTGGATGTTCACAACCGTCTCCAGGGAATTGTACGCGTTTTATTTGCCTGTTTTTTGTTTTTTTTTTGATTAAGAGAAGCATAACTGACTTTTGGTGTAGACACATCATTTGGCAGCTATTCAATCGCAAGTTGGAATGCTCTATGATAAAGTGGATTCACTTAGCCACAAACAGGATGGTTACCGTGCAGAGCTCAGAGAGACTAGAGTCCCCCGCTCGCAGATTGACGGTATGGAAGAAAAGATGAAGGCTATCGAGGACCTAGTTGTACAGATTGGAAATGCCATTACCTCAAAAGATTACTCGCAGCAATTTGAGGTGCTGCACAAGACTTTGGAGAATCACCACTCTAACCTGCTTTACACCGTTCCAAACAAGGTCACTCAAGGTAAATACACGCTCTCATGTGATTTTTCTTCCTCCAGGGATTAGGACTAACATGGGTCACTAGCATTAACTACGAATACTCCTAGGGTTGGGTTCGGGATTACCCTTCTTATTATATTTCAACTGGTATTAGTGGTTGCCTATATTGTTTACAAGCGTAGACGAGCAAGTTCCCCGAAGAAGTATTTGTAAATGTTTAGTCCCTCTGCATTTCGTGTCTTCCGGGAGTTTATTTGAAAGAAGGAAAAAAAATTACACGGGTCATTTTATATTTCTCTAAACCTAGCTTTATCTTTACCCATTTTATCTTGTCTTTTATCTTCTTTTTCCCCTTTCCTTATTTTCAACCCTATAGTGCAATGTAGTATGAATTGACGGGGGAGATGGATGTTGGATATTGTAAGATAATAAACCAAAAATGGCTCAAAAGTCAAGGTGAACAGTCGGACCACAGGGAGGAGGCGCATGACCCAAGTGAAATAAGAAAAAAGAGGTCCGGCTGCGGGGTGAAGGATGAATGGCGGCATCATTTTTTTTGTTGGCATGACATCCGCAGCGTGGAGAAGAAACATTGGCGAGCGAGCCTGAGAGAAGAGAAGAGAAGGAAAGAACGAAAACCACTCAAATATTGAATTATCATGCTTCACTCTACCCTCCCGTGACGGGTCTTGCAAGTGGATAAGATTAGATTGTGGGGTTTTTAAAATCTAGGAAGGAGGGAGATCTCTCCTTAACCTTCCCCCCAATTCCTTGTCACTGTCAGCCTCAAGCCTATTGTTTCACTCCCTCGACGTTTGATTCTTCCCTCTTTTTTCCTTCCTTCCTTCCTTTTACTTGTATCTGGTCTACCGACTCATTTCCTTCTCGGTTCTCCTTCTTCCGTTCATCTACATTGCCTACTTTAATCCCCCGCATTGCAGGTAGCTGGCCGCTTGCAGTGCAAACGACGGTTTCCATTAATCTCACCGCCCCTATCCTCGCCCTATAACCCTTTCTCGCTGCGCAAAAGGGAGTAGTATATAATCCTTGAGATCCTTCATCTACATACCACACCCCAAGCAACCCCCCCCATCTCTAACCCGAAAAAGAAAAAAGAAAAAAAGATACGATAACAAGAACAAAATTTTGTACTGGTTACGCTTACAGTCATATACGTGGTCACGATGGCTGGCGCAGTAGAAGTCTACGAGTGCCCGTGGTGCCGATTCAAGTCAGGCGCGGAGTACACCATACTCATGCACATCGAGGCAATACACACGCCCGACTCGCCGTTCATGATAAAGGATGAGCACGGCAACAGGGATATAAGCAGTGAGGATCTGGTGGACACGGACTTTGATATTCCCCCGGAAGACGATGCCGAGACTACATACATCCTCTGCACAGAGGACGGATGCGAGGAGAATGTCCTTCTAATGGACCTGCAGACACACTTGGACTTTCACGCCGCGGAGCAGATTTCCATGGAAGATGTGCGTAGCCAGACGCCCGTGTCCGGGGATGATAGCGGGAGTTACAGTGGGAGCCAGGATATGGTTTTATCGGAGCAAGGGAAGAGTAGGTATGGGTACGGGCGCTCGGAAGGCAGTATCGAAGGAGGCAGGAGGGAGAGGAGGGAGAACAAGACATTGATTGCTTCGAGGGAGAGGGATAAGAACGGTTATAAGCTTTCTTTTGCTCAGGATCAGGGTTCTTCTTCTTTGGTGCCCTCGAAAACACCAAGTCATTTGAAGTCACCTAAGAGGTCTCATAAGTTGGTGTTTGGTCTGCCGGTTAAGGACCCGTGGAGGCAGAGGGAGAAGGAGAAGGAAAAAGAGCGGGAGAGGGAGAGAGAGCTGGAAAGGGAGAGGGACAGGGAGAGAGCTAGGGAGGTTCGGAGGCCAGTTGAGAGAAGTGTGGTCAGGCCTATTGATGGGCAAAATCTGCCTGGGCAGCAGCAAACGGTATCCTCTAATCATATTCTTACTCCAGTCAAGCGGTTAGGAGTAAGTGACGGGGCCTTTGGATTTTCTATGTGGTCTGCGATGAGGGGAGTGTGACTAATCGTTGTGGTGGAAAAAAATATAGAAGAGTGATCTAGGACCTTATGCCCACGAGGCACAAATGCCGGCTTGGCTCCGCAAAGAGCTTGAGCAAGGTGGTAAACTGACCAAGGAAACTAGATTGGATCATGCCGCTGGGCGTTTGGTTAGGGTTGTCACGGTCTCCAATGAAACTCCCGATCTCATCCCTGTGATTGCGCTTCTCTGTGAACACGATCCTCGTGTCGTGAGGGCATGGGTTTGCCATCCGGGCACCAAACATGTTGGGAAACAGATTAGGGGTGAGGGCGGCTTCTGTGGGTATAGAAATATTCAAATGGTCGTCAGCTATATTCAGAATGCATACCCTAGGGGATCCCATCCGTTTGAGGGCAGAATTCCGACTATACTGAGGCTTCAGGATTGGATTGAAGAGGGATGGGATAAGGGAATAAATCCTAGCGCTAGATTGGAGACTGGCGGTATCAAGGGGACCAGAAAATATATTGGGACTTCAGAGGTATGGGTGTCTATATTTCCTGTGAGGCATTAACTGACAAACCAGGAGCACAGGCCCAAACAATGTTTGTCAACCTTAACATCCCCTGCCGTCCCCATAGCTTCACCAGGTCAGAAGGCCTCAAAACCCAGGAAAAGCTTCTTGACTGGGTGGAAAACTACTTCTCTGACGGCGGCATCCTCCCAGAAGCCGCCCAAGTAAAGGTTTACCAGACCCAGAAACCCCCAATCTACTTTCAGCACAGCGGCCACTCTATGACAATAGTCGGGTGCGAGACCAACAGGGACGGTTCCAAAAACCTCCTAGTCTTCGACCCCTTCTTCACACCCTCCGCTCCTATGAAGAACCTTATTGGCGCGCGTTCCCTGAGCCATAGAATGGACCCGGAACTACTCCTCAGGGCCTATAGGCGCAGGATGAACTACTTGCAAAAGTACAAGGAGTTTGAAGTTATAACGTTCGTGCCTCCTATCGCGAGTCATTATAATAAAAGCATTGCGGAGGGGGGAAGCGGAGGAAGGATCCATTATTATTTTCAATAGCTAACAATGCGTACCTTGGATTCTATGATGTCCTCCTATCCACCTCCGTACCTGCCTACCTACCCCTGGATGGAATTGCGTTTTTTT